GGATGGGCAACAGCTGAAGGATAAGACAGATGATCTCGCAATTTACCAACTGGATCTCAGCAGTTTCCAAAGTGTAAGAGAATGCGCTAAGAGTTTACTAACAAAGGAACCAGTGATTCATATTCTCATAAACAATGCCGGCATTTTTATGTATCCATTCGAGAAAACCGAGGACGGAAACGAGATGCACCTGCAGTCGAATCATCTCGGACATTTTCTTTTAACGCTGCTACTACTACCGAAATTGCGATTATCTGGTTTTGGCTGCAGGATAATTAACGTATCGTCTATAGCGCATTGGTGTAAGTTTGAATACATATTGCAACGCGGACCAACAGAAAAGACATAGAATATATATGCAAATACAAATACATTGAATAGAGCAAATGCTTTGAAATTGAAACAAGTTTTTTAACTAATTATGTAAAATAATTAATAAAATTTGAATAATTAGTTTCTATTGTAAATCTTATATAATTTTATGTGGTAACTTTCAGCTGACTAACCTTTATTTGTAAAGAAAAGTATTAAATTTTAGGCTGGTATAGTAATTTCATGAAATCAACATTTTTCATACTTGCTGCCATTAAAAACACAAATTATCCTTTTCTTTAACAGTTGGCAATATAAATTTTGATGATATTAATTTGGAAAAGTTTTATGGACCATGGAAAGCTTATGCACAGAGTAAACTGGCAAATATTCTATTTACTAAAGAACTCGCGCATCAATTAGCAAGTAAGTCAAAAAAGAAGATTGGATAAATTATCGATAAACAATTGATTAAAGATTAAAATTATTTAATCATTTATTATATTATTTACTATCAATATATGATACGTTGTAAAATAGTGTAAAAGATTGCGATACTTTATAAAATTTAATAAATATAAATCGCAATGATATGTTTGCATACAATTACTATTAAAATATTAAAATAACTATAAATAAATATATAGAATTACTATAAAAAAACCTGAAGGCTATTTAAAAATTTATACTAATTAATATTCGATTTCCAGAGGCAGAGATAGAAGGAATAAATGTTTACGCCTTACATCCTGGTCTTATACCTACGGAAATATCACGTTATAGCGGCGACACCTTTTTTTATGGTGCGGACAAACTTTTCAATTGTTTTACATGGATGTTTTTTAAGAATGTGATGCAAGGAGCACAAACAACGATATATTGTGCGGTAGATGAAAAAGCGGGCGAAGAGACTGGGCTCTATTATTCGTAAGCGTTATATGATATATATATATATAAATATATTTTTTATATATTAATTTTATGTTATATTTAAAAATTACGTATGTAATACTTGTAATTTTTCTTTGTTTTTATTAGTGATTGCAGTCCTGCCATGACATATAGCAGAGCAATGAATGCCGATTATAGCAAAAAGTTATGGGATATATCTTGTCGACTGTTGCATTTGGAGCCCGAGGAAAATCTTGTTGCATTATTGAATACTATTTCACGTCAAATTGCTGATTAATCCGAGGTAAATTTATTATCAGTCTTTACTACATTCTATCAATTTCATATAAAATTGAAACATAATATTGGGTTGTATCATAAGTCCATAGCGCTTTTTTACCGAAGACAATGCTGTCGGTCTGATGGGATTGGGAAGGTGTCATTCACTTTGAGTTACTTCCAAAAAATTGAACTATCACGGCCGAGCTTTTTTGCAACAACTGCGACGTCTGGCCAATGCGATTCAACAAAAACGACCAAACCGCCAATATGATGTCATTTTGCAACATGACAATGCTCGGCCGCACACAGCTAATTTTACGAAAGCAGCCATCCAGGAGCTTGGCTGGGAGCTTGGCTGGGCGTACTGAGGAAAACCGAAAACAATGGCCTGTACGGAAACTGTACTCTTAATCTGTACTCTTAATTTAAATAAATAATTAAGCACGTAAAAAAATCCAGCTCTGGTTCTATAAGCTTGTTTATTAATAACATTTGCTTATGCAAAACGGATTTGTTTGTCAAGAAAAAATTTATTGTATTTAGCTGATTTTTACTTTATATTTATAAAAATGGTAGAGGCATGGTATTCAGGAAATTCTAATAACATAAATATTTTAAAAATATAAATTAAATTAAATATAAATATTTTTATTATTTTAATATGACAATATATTAAATATTTATATCATATGCAACAAGTAAAATCCTTTTATGAGTATGGAATATTATATTAATATTATGCTGTCACTATTAAAAACAAGATAATTTATGTAAATAAAATGTAAACGTTTTAAGTGAAAAACTTCTTGACAATTCCTAATTTTATTAATAAATAAAAAAAAGTTTTTTTTTTAAGTTGTTTATTTATTAACTAATGTGTGACTTCGTAATTTTAATCAAACCAAAATTTTTTTATTATAAGTTCTACGCAATTAGTTAGAAAAGCGATGGAATCTTTCTGGACCGGGTAGAGTGGAGGAATTTTTAAATGGAACAAAGTGTGTCAAAGTTAAATGGAACAAAGTTTGTCTTAAAATTACTTCTTGTTATAAAAAAAGGTTTTACTAATATAGAAGACCTTAAATATGCGTAGCGTAAATCGGAGAAAAGTCAATGTAAGTGTGGAATAGAACTTTATAAGAGCAACATAAACGAAAAGTATTTCTATCTTTCTCACTTACTTTAAACTTACTGCGACGTGTCATATACGTTCGACGTTCAATGATGAGAACAATCGAACTTATTAATATATTTAGAAAAGCTGTTAATAAGTAAAATTTGAAATTATTACAGAATTGGTGAGTTGTTTATTTGTAATATTTGTTGATATTTGCAATATCAAGAATTAAATTTGTGAAAGTTATATTAATAAAGAAGATTTCTTTTTCTTCTTCTTCTCCTTATTTGTGATCTAATGATCTATTTGTTTCCGAAGTTACCTTAGCACCGGTTTTTTTTATGAGGTGGATTGTCATCTATATCTCCATCTTTTGGGGAGTCCTTCAGGTGAGCGACGACCATTCAGTTTTCTTTCGAGTGTTATGCGTGCTTTTCCCTTTCATTCGTCTCACATGGTCATCCCGACAGTTGCGTAACATCCATGTCGAATTTATTTACATAATTTACGTGGATTACGTATATATATATATATATAAATGTAAATTTATCCACGAATTATTCATAAGGATGCAACGTTTTTTTTCTATCACTACATCGAAATATTTTAGTCTCGAAATGTCAATATAAATTTCATGTGGAAATTTCTACTAAAGATAATAATTATAATCAATCGAGGTATATCGTTGTGTTCATCGCAATGTGATTTTCAATGGATAATCAATTTATGAATATCTTGTATTTTTGTATATACTGCAGGTGAGGTAAATTTGTATTAAACAAGACAATATTATTCTATACCCAGTAAAAAATATAGATCGAAAAAACGTCTAATAGACATCTTATAGACGCCTATAAATATTTATATTTATACGTTTATTAGATCAATAATAAAACAACGTTTATTATTCACTCAAATATCCATATGGTTTCCACGATACTGATTCACATGACAATAACGTGGATTTCATGTACTGTTTTTGTCGAGATACCACGTTTTCTTGAAAACAGAATTCTTGAAGATTAAAGACAGAATTTCACGTTTTTAAATAAATTTTTTGTGAACTAAATAATCGCCAATAATTTCTATATTTTTTTAGCTAGAAATAAATTTGTATTATATATGTCTGATTTTAAAAATTTCAAGCTCTCAGAATAAAAATCTTTAACTTTATTTAAAATATGTAAATTTTTATTGCACAGTAACAAATTGGTCCGGCTGAATAACATTACCAGTCGTTTTTTTTCATTGCTGACTTAGTGACATTTCCGTGATAGAACATCATACAAGGTGTCCCATTTTAAATGATCTACTTAAATATTTCAAATATGATATGAATTTCAAAAATATGATATGATTGTATCTGCTATATATTTTTTCTTAAAGGCAATGTGTTTTTTTTTACTCCAATTAATTTCTTTCATTATTCTGTGTATAAAAGTGTTAAGGTAAGATAATTAAAAAATAAATAATTAACGCCAAGGCTGGCTACTGTGCATTAGTAGCCAGCCTTTAAATTTGGAAATTCTAACTTTCTAAGTCAGTTGGGTATGAATCTTGAGAGGCATCGGTTGTTCAGATGCACTATTCTCACATGAGTTACGTTATTGTGTAATTTTAATTTATTATTATTACAGTTTAATTGTTTTGCAATTTATTGATTATAATATGACTACGTACTTACTCGAATTACAAGGTTTGTTCGTCCTTTTTTTCGTTACTTTTTTGTTAGTTTAGTTGAAATGCATTAATGCTTAATAACTTATACAACTTTTTCTTTACCCAGACAGCACAATGTTTAAAATACATCTAAAGGATATCCAGAGGACGTTCTGTCGTCCCAAAAACATTTTCGAGATATCCTCTGAACGTCTTTTGGATATTCTGTGCTGTCTGGGTAATTTTTTTCTTTCTAACTTAGCTTTACAAATTCAAAAGTGATTATCACACTACTTACTTAACATGTTGTTGGCTCACTTCAATACATAATATTTTTAATGCTTAAATAACTAAATAATCTTGATTCTAGATTTTAACTTTTTTTTTAATGAACCATTCACGCTTTCTTCTGTATTGCCAACAGATCTTGCTAAATTTGCTCTAATCAATCTTTAATCATAGCAGCACGAATTTTTCTTGTAATTTTATTACTTTTTCTTTTGTACGATAGACATTCAAATTACAATAACTGATAACAATTATATTTTCTATTTTTTTATAAATTAGTTTTTAATTTTTGTTAGTCATATAATAGCGCACAAAAAAAAGAGAATGTTTCTATTAAAAGTTAACGAAATCGACGTTATTTTATCATTAGATGTGATAGTTGGGACATGTGAAATATGCCTCATTTTTGTACGCATGCGCTACATGTTGTAATTAGACGAATTAGACTATCTACATTCTATCTACAGTATAGATTTTACACTCACTCAGAATAGAGTAGTAAGCATATAATCGAGATAGCTCCTATTTTCCTATCAAAATACTCAACAAATAGCAATAAAATTTATGTTATTGGTAAAATACCTAAATTGTGCTGAGTATATTTGTTTGTAAAGAAACATAAGTATTTTTGACTCTTCTTGTGAATGCACTATCAGTTTTAAGCTGATGAGAATCGAAATGTAACCAAATTTTTTATATGTCTTTATATATATTTTGTGTGGTGTTGATGTATTTGTATTGTGGCTTTAACCTGTTACTTTTAAGAGCACATCAACGATATCGAGAAAGATGAGCATAATATAGGAAATGTGGCTTTTTAATACCTTGTGTGGTAGTATAGCGCGTCTTGATGGCAAAACTGTGATTATAACGGGAGCAAATTCCGGAATCAGTAAGGAGACTGCCAGAGATTTATATCGAAGAGATAAGTGAGAGCGAATTGTGCACGGAAAAAACACTTTTGCTGAAATATCTATAAATTGAGCCAGATACAGATCTGAATTATAAATTCTGTTGATCATTCAAAATCTATCAATAGAGCCCCCGATTAAATATTGGATCATCAAAACTTTTTGCTGCGATATAAAAAAGTGCTTTATTGATAAATTTTGATTATTTTGATATATATATATGTACATATAATGATACATACATTAACTAAACACTTTCCGCACTTTTTTTGACCATGATTTTTTAAGTTACAAATGCAAAAGGTATATTTAAACATGGATAACATTTTTGCCTTTAGATGCCAGGGTGATTTTGGCTTGTCGTAATATGGAAAAGGCAAACACTGCAGTGGACGACAAAAAAAGGAATTTATTTTCAAAGTAAATATAAAAATCATATCCATGTAATTATGTATATATAATTAAATTATAAATTTGAATTGATTTAATGAATAAGGTGTAAATTTTAGTTATTATTGATTTTAAATAAAGCATTATATTGTATTTTTAAAGTAAATTTATATTTAAATGTATATTTAATAATATTAAGCAAAATTACATTAATAACTCTAACAAATCGTAAGATAATCGCACATTGTAGTTAAAATATTATTAATAATAAACAATAATACACAATAATAAAATATTTTTGATTTATTAATTATTTTACAGAAATGTAAAAAATTTTGATTTTACACGTTTTATTTGTTTGATAAAATAATACTGGTAATTTTAAATTACTTTCAAGAGTGGATGGGCAACCAGCTGACGGATGAGACAGGTGATCTCGCGGTTTGCCAACTGGATCTCAGCAGTTTCCAAAGTGTAAGAGAATACGCTAAGAGTTTACTAGCAAAGGAACCAGTGATTCATATTCTTGTAAATAATGCCGGCATTGCAATGTACCCATTCGAGAAAACCGAGGATGGAAACGAGATGCACCTGTAGTCGAATCATCTCGGACATTTTCTTTTAACGCTGCTACTACTACAAAAATTGCGATTATCTGGTTTTGGCTGCAGGATAATTAACGTATCGTTTATGGTGCATTGGTGTAAGTTTGAATACATATTGCAATGCAGACCAACAGAAAAGACCAATTTTGGTAGTAGTAGCAGCGTTAAAAGAAAGTATCCGAAATGATTCGACTGCAGGTGCATCTCGTTTCCGTTCTCCGTTTTCTCGAATGGGTATATTACAATGCCGGCATTATTTATAAAAATATGAAACACTGGTTTTTTTGCTAGTAAACTCTTAACGCATTCTCTTACACTTTGGAAACTGCTGAAATCCAGTTGGCAAACCACGAGATCATCTTATCCTTCAGCTGTTGCCCATTCACTTTTAAAAGTAATATAAAATTACCAGTATTATTTTATCAAACAAATAAAACGTGTAAAATCAAAATTTTCTACATTTCTGTAAAATAATTAATAAATAAAAAATATTTTATCATTGTGTATTATTGTTTATTACTAATAATATTTTAATTACAATTTGTGATCATGATGCAATAAAAATAGGATAGTTTAGGATTTTTAATAGCAATAAAAATCCATTTGGGAATATTATTTACTAGATAAAATAAGTATTTAGGCTGAATATAAGCCTAATCGGAGGTGATAGCTTTTTGGAAGTCCACCTCCCTTTTTTGATGCATTTTTACTTTTGATTGGAAAATCGTACTAAACATTTTCAAAAATCATTGTTCTTGTTTTGAAACGTCTTTTTAAATGATCTTCACTCGACCCATAGTGCCATTTAACATTTTTCACCTCTATTCTGCCTCCCAGGGCGTGGGAGAAGGAATTCATACCCATTCCGAAAAGTTGCTTTTTCGAAAACTTTGAACCCATGTTTCACCGTTTTTCGATATTTTAACTTTTGGCTCTTACCACTTTTGGCACAAATCTTTCGGAAAAATCTACCACTCAACTGGTTAAGATAAAATATATAGAGATGCAACTGTTCTTAATGTCATGTCAATATTCTGTTTTGCAATATACTTCTAAGTTTAACA